AAGCGTTCTGGCCCTCCCTGGGGAGAAACGCTGTGAAGTGGGTCAGGACTGCACCCTCTGAAGAGGGCGCTTCGCTTCCCGCTCATCAAAAGGTACAGGTGTCCCACTGGGGCGTCCAGGGACACCGTGGTCTGGGATCTTGAGCTCCTCTAGCACAGCTCCGACCCTGCCCGCAGCCTGTGGGTGCCATGCTCGCCACTCAGGAAACGCCATCAGATGGTAGCGGTTTCGCCATAAGAATCCTTTGTGGGTAGATTGAGACTGTTACAGTCAGTGGGGGCCTGTGAGAATGTGGGGTTTTCTGACCTGTACCTGACCCTGACAACAAATTGTGGAGCTGAGGATTGAAGGAAAAGAAAAAAAAAAAAGAAAGCAGCTTCCTAATAACTTGCAGCTGTGAGCCTAGCAGTAATTAAAACAAAGTGCTCAGGCAGGTTCGTGTCGTTATAGGTCAGACCGGCCTTGTCATTCAGGTCGAAGTTATGTGTAGCTTGAGCTGCCCTTACTTTAAAAAAGGAAATTTTTTATGAAATTAAAATGAGGATTCTTGAAGTGTAGAGAACCAAGGGCTTCTGGAAAGCTGACATAAAGGATTGCTTTGGTCAGTTTTGAATGTGCATTGGTAGGAGATCTGATGTGGTGTTTCCAGTCTAGTAGTTCCATGGTATTATTTTTTTTTACCAAAGTTAAAAACTTGCATGAAATGACTGCTGCTTTTTTTATGAAAATATAGAAAGTAGTATTTAAGATGCATACCATAGTAGTGGTTTGTCCACAGGTAAACAAAAAAAAAAAGGTTTGAAAATAATCTACCCATTCTTGTGTACATAACCTTTCAAATATTTCTGTCATTGCTGTTAGAATGGCATCAAAAGATCTGCCCCTGAGAAGGTCTATGTAGAAGAAAAGCTCCGTGTGTATGTGTGCAACTACTGTGCTTTTTGTCCATTCTCCCAAATCTTGCATGCTAAGACATAAGCACTGATATTAAGGAAATTCAGAACATGTGGGTTTTGTTCCAGGTGCTGGAATAAAAGATGAGGCTGAATGAGAGCGGAACAAGATCCTTCCAGGCTCCTGTCACCGTCCATAATTACCCAGGCAGGCAGGTGTACGTGTTTCCGAATGGCCGGTCTGAATCAGAAGAGTCAGAGGAGGAGGAACTCAATGTCATGGAATTGCGACCGAGGGGCAAGGAGCAGCAGCACCACAGCACTTCTCGGGACAGAGTTGGAGACGTGGTACTTCTGGAACGGGAGATTACAGAGGATGATAATCTTAACAAGCTGGCCCTGCAGTATGGTTGTAAAGTAAGAGCTGTCTCTGTGTGTTTGGGTTTATATTACTGAAGAGGTGTTTCATGTGTAGCTTAGTTTCCAGAATTGCAGGAAGGTGTGCTGTTGTCTAATAGTTTTGACACTGAAAAGTGTTTGCCTTGTGTGTTTCATGAATGGTCAATATTTGGGTGAAAATGAGCTGGACAAAGGCAAGAAAACCCCAAACAGACAAAAAAAAGTTCTTCAGATGACAGTCTAGGAAGATGTTGTCACCCCCACGCTCTGCATGACCTGTTTTCCTGTTTAATTTGGGTGACTAAGTGCAGTGTGGCAGTCGTGGTTCGTACTTAGTTATTTAAGTGAGGGCAGAAGGGAGGAAGCTGAGTGCAGAAACGGGGGTGAGAGCCCTGCTCTCGGGGAGCGTACAGTTTGTGAAGCAAACTGAACAGCATGAAGAAATGCCACTCTGATGGGGCCTGGTTTGGGTGTATTTTCTGTTTATTTTTTGAAAAGCGTGAGCTTACGTATTGCAAGGAAGGTCTAAGTCCAACAGGGGTGGGCTTGGAGAAGGAGAGATGCCGAAGTCCAGGTCCCAGAGTCCAGGTGCTGTCTGTCCGTGTGGGTGTTGATTGTTTGCTGTCATAGCCAGAAGTGAGTGTGGTTCAGCCTGTGCACGGTAAATTTTTCTCTGGAGTTGGAACATACTACAGAATACATTTCCTTTGTTCCAAAGCAGAGAGCTTTATGGAAAAACTGTTGAAAAGTTGAATTACCTGAGCTGGACATTAGAAATACCCTGTTGTTTGGCAGTTAAAGCTGTATTTTTAGAGCCTCCTTTATCTTCAAGCTAGACTATGATTAAAAAGTTCCATGATGCAAACAATTGGACAGTGACCTGGATGGGGATAATGATACAGTTCTGGCTCAACTGCTGCAATACTGGTGCAGTCTGTCTTGCTTAACACCACAGCTGTGTGGTGCAGCTGAAGCAAGAGGGCTTAGAAGGGATTGTGACAATTCCTCCCCTCCCATTCCCTTAGAAACAAAACCAAAACAAAAAAGAAACTCATCCAGGTTCTGCTGACGAGCCTGATGGGCGTGAAGAAGCGAGTCTGGTAGGACTTGATCAGCACCGGTAGAGCTGAGAACTCAGAGCCACAGCAGGTGACTTTGTCGCCATGGCTCTGTGCTCATCTCTGACCAGCAGCAGTTGCGTCGTTACTGCCGCTTATGCCGGTCACAGCAGTTCAGTGAGCTCAAAGGAGGAAGACTCTGGACAACTCGTCTGATTTATGGCATGGAAAAGCCTGCTGTGCCCCTGGGATGTAACTCGGGAGGGCTCAGTCCTGTCCCTTCTGTGACTGTTCGTCCGCCTCCTCTGCCACCCGCTCCCAAAGCCTTCCAGCCCCGGCCCGTGCAGGGAGACCTGCTCTGCCTGTCCTGCTGGGCTTGTCCGGTGGGGAAAGCAAGCTGATGGGGAGGGACCAGGTAGTCAGTGTTTTCCTCCCACAGGAAAAAAACTGTCCTACTGCCTCCCTCCCTTCCAGAAAGGGTACTTCTGACTTGTCCCAGTTAAATTGAAGGGGTGCAGAAATCCTTATTATTGGAGGTTTGTGTATTTGTGTGTTTACAGACTGGCTCTGATCAATTTTCATGTGTTTTGTTTTACTTGCACAGTTAAGCAGCTTCTGAAAGGCTACGAGGACATCAGTGAGGAAGATTTGTAGCCACAAATATAGGTGACTGTGTTTAAAAAATCCAGAATGAGCTTCTCCTTGAAATCAGTGGGAACTTGTCATTGATTTCAGAATCATCAGGGCTTCCTTGGGGTGGGAGTATTAAGACAGTGCAACAATTAGCTTTGTGTGCGCTACAGATAACTTGGCAGGGGTGCAAAGCACTTGAAAATTCTCATTTTTACTCTTGACCATTTATAGTCCTGGCCTGCTTTTGGCATTGTTCTTAGCTGGGACAAGAGGAGCTCACTGCAGCCAAAAAACGAGTACAGAAAATAAGCCTAAATGGGTTGTAGAGCTGAGAGCTTTTGCATTCTTCCCATCAGCTTTGTTTGTTGTTTCTGTGTGAGTGCTGCTCCGCTTTCTGTTTCCAGAGTCTTAGCACAACATTGCAGTGTTTGATTGCAGACACTGCAGGGGGTATTGACTGTCCCAATAATTTGTTTTCATTGGAACAAAACCAAAAATTGAAGCACCACCTCAGTTAGGAGGCTTTGGGTGAGATTGTTATTTCATAACTAAATGATTTTGCAGGGTTTAAGTGCTGATGCTACGCTGGGGCAAGCTTGGAGAGGTCTGAACCAGCAACTGCAGATTCTTTTTGCCTCAGGGGCACCAGATTAGGATCTAGATTAAATGTCCCTTTTTCAGATTTCTCAAGTTTTGCAGAGTAAACGTGAGATTCAGGCCTTCATCTCATCTCTGCCCTGCAGCAGAGTCTTGCTTTCTGGCCGTGACGTAGCAGACTGGCCACCCTTCAGGGCTTGCAGGGTGGATGAGAGCTCGATATGTGGTTCCCAGACA